ATTTAGTTTATTTAAGTTTGTTATTTAACTTGGCTTGTCCTATCAGTTAGACTTTGTTATAAGACTGCATATTCAAAATAAATAAGTAATTTACACCAAGCGATCTGTCAGTAGCTCACTTCAACTATGTCCACTTTGACTAACAAACCAGCTACAATCTTAATATAGTGATTGTCAATGGTTAATACTTCTCATACCTGCTGTATTGTAATAACTGCTTGATAATTATGAAGAATCTTTTTAAAGCTATTTAATAGATTTAAAGACAAATAAAACTTAAGTATGGTTTTAGCAAATTTCCCTCAGGGAAGTAGCTATTACCTTAGGTGGCACGGTAAAACTTAGGCCTGGGACCGATTTACTTTTTCATTTTGATGTCTCCAGAGACCAAAAACACCATTGGTTCAAATTTGTATGTAATTTTTGTCCGATTTTGATAAAATTTGGTTTGAAGGTGTAAGGCGGGATGAAATTGAATGAGTTCGCAAACCAGCGTGATCGGACCATGGGAAAGGTTTTTTTTTGGGGTAAAAATGGGGTTTTATAATTTTTGGCTCTCAAAACATTAAATTTCCCAATTTATCTGTAGACCTTCTTAAAGAGCTTAAAAAAACAAATAATTCAGTACCTATATCAAAGTGTTTTTGTACAATTATTGGTTATGGAGAAAACTCTAAAAATTGTAATTTAAAATTCCCATGTTATTCTTATGGAAAATATTGTATAATGTTGTAGTTTGCTTGTTTATGGATATATTTTGACCAAACTTGGCAAATTTATTGAATTTGTACTAAGCTATAATTATTTTACTTAAAAACACACTATTAGTTTCCTTGTAGCAGCAAACCTAGGTACTTGTTAAACCTAATGTTATTTAAATAGATTAACTGGAGGCAAATATAAATTTGCTTGGACGGCAGGTTTGCTGCGGCGAGGGTATTTTTTAATTTTAGGAAATCACTCAGGAATTTAAATTATTCCTCTTGGAAAATTCGCTAATTAGCTCAGTTATGTTCTCATGTGAGGGATAAATTTCAGTGAGGCAGGGTTGGAACGCTGGTAGTGTTGGTTTACGTCTGTCGTCTGCCACTTGGCATCATCACAAGTTGTGATTCACCTCTGCCAAGAGTATTTCTGGCAATCACATGGTGTCTGTCATAACAATATCACATGGGGACCTCCGTAATGGATCTCGTGACCGTCTCTGACAATGGTGGGCGTATCTGTCATTCTTTGTTTGTGCAACAATCGTTACATTGTTTTACCTCTGTACAACATCGTGTAAACTAGGCGAACAAATGTTTCGATTGTGTAAGTCAATTTTATTCATTTTTTAAATTTCCAGTTTGTTTAGTTTAAAATTTGATGCTTCTTTTGACAAACTTGATGCAGTATTTTGTAGCAAATATGGAGTAGGTATTTTTTCCTTAAAGTTGCAGGTTTTGGTTATTTTTGATATTTTAATAACAAACAAAATCAAGCGTAAGTAAAGTTGTTAGAATTTGTAATACTGGGACTTTCTTATGGTTTGGTTTAAGTTTGACAAGCAGCTATTATGTTAGTACTTTTGGTACAGCAGAAGTTTAAAAATATTGAAACTGTATTCATGTTTTGTCATGATTTACCACAAATAGTCATAACTTTTTCATTTCTAGCCCTTGACACCAATTGAAAATCAACCTTAATTTAAAATAATGAGTTAACAAGTTTAGTTGATATTTTTTCAACACTTTCACATTCCTGTTTTTTCTGTCATGAAGAGGATCAGCTGAGCTCTGGTTTTCATTTTCAAAAGCTCTTTACAGCACAACTCAAGAGTCCACATCAACTTGTAGCAGTTTGTAGTCTCCTCATAGTTTGTAGAATAGGTCAGCTGGTAACAGGTTTCTCAACAACTCACATAATGATCGGGCACAGCTGATAATTCAATAATAACTGTCGTGCCTTAGGCAGCAAACATGTTTAGCATATTATTGGGAACTTTAACCTTCTTAGGTAAGAAGGAGTGGCAAGCACAAAATATATCTTGATGAAAAGCTGATGTAGACATTTAGTTTGGTTAATTTCAAACGAGTGCTGTAACATTTTTTTTAACAAGCCAACTTGAGAATTATTGTTAGGTAATACAGGAAAACCTAACTATCAGAGTTAAAGGGGGTCAAGCCGTTTATGATAACATATTTTTCCTGTTAGTATTCAAAAAGCTAGGCCTATGTATATTAAATAAGAACTTCAACAGTAGATTTTTATGTTATTTTTCGCCGTCATCATAAAATTCACAACTGTATACACAACATTTATTTCTTAAATAACCGATAGTTGTTTTCTGAACTTGATCTATATCTTGTTATGAGATCTACGTTGCTCCATTACATTCCATTTGCAAAGCAGGACTAACTACTCGTGCCACTGCAAACAATTCCAGTTACCTTGGAGCTAATTTTTCATCTTATTTTCATGTTTATTACGGGGTTTCAGTTAACCTGGGTTTCAGTTTAACGGGTTCAGTTTAAAAGGGGTTTAACTGTATTATCACTCAAGTGAAAAAAGTTACAATTCCGTGTTGCTACTCCATATACAATTTAAAAAATTCACATTGCAGAATTTTACTTGACCGTTCAAGCCAATAATTATTTTATTATGTAAATGGTAGGCCTATCATTTTCTACTTTTACTACATTTAGCAGACAAAAAGTATGGTAATTTAAAAATTATTTAAGTTAAATCTATCTCTCATATTTATGTGATTTAAAATGTAATTTTATTTATTATGTTATGTTATTTTAAATGTTAACATTGTTTTCCAGTGGATGATTTGATCCAAGCTAAATGATAATCATTCCAGAACTAGTGGATTTTGATTTGTCTGCCAGATTAAGCGACAAGTCAGTTCAAAGTTGCTAGTCATGGCTAAGTTTATGGCTTCTGGTAGATTACATGTTAACTATCCAGTGTCCTTGGTTTTGCTTATTAGAGTAAGCACAATCATTGATTGTTCTTAGAAAACGTTTTCCTACCGTACATTCTTTCAAACCCATTGGAATATGAGTTTGTTAGGCTACTTTATAAAATCTGTATTTTTTCTGTGTTGACAAAATCCTTTACTATAAAATCTTATGTGATTTGGTTTTTAACGATTCAGTCATTTAATTTTCATAAACAAACAATACTGTACCCCTGCAATAGGAAACCTGCAGACTAAGCAAATTTAAATTTACTTGATTGGATTTTCACTAAAATATTCCCTTGAAGTACTTTGGTTTGTTGCTACAGGGAGGGTGATAATGTTATTGCTTGGTATAAAATAAATACATTTGCCAAATTTGATTAAAATATATCTCTAACATAATCAACTTACAACAGTTTAATAGTCATTCTCTGTAAGAATAACAAATTATATCTTTTAATTAACAGTTTTTAAACATCTTTCCTAACCATTATGCATACAACAATGCTTCCATATACTAAATTATTTACTTAAAGCTCTACAAAATATTTCAGAAAGAAATTGCAAAATTTTATGCTTTGGGGGTGAAAAATGGCAAAACCCAATTTTCACCCCATCAAACCTCACATAAACCCTGATTTTATAATCCAATCATGCTGGTTTGCAAATTTGTTTGAATGAATGTAGGTTTACAAGTTTGTAGCCTACTGAATTTCAAAAATCAATTTATTTTTACTTGACTTATCGTGCTAACAGACATAGCCTATACATATAAATTTACGGTAGGCCTATTTGAATTTGAACATATGCCGTTTTTAACCTCTAAGACATCAAAACGAATAAGTAAATCGGTCCCAGGTCTAGTTGTTACGATGAGCCCAGCTGACTACTTTGTAATAACTTCTATAGGGTATCAGAAATTGGCCAATTTTCCCTAAAGGGGAATTTGCTAAAATCAGACAGTTTTAATCAGTTTTATGCGACTGGTCGTTCAGTTTAGACGTAAGGAATGCTAAACAATTTCAGAACTGTCAATCAGTATTCAAAGTGGCCTTTATTTTATCAGTGAGTATAAATTCCAAGTGACCTTTTTATCTATCTCGTCAGAGATAATAAAACTGTAAATAGCACTTTTCACAAATCTGACCTTTGCTTTTATATATTCAGTACTTGTGAATCGTCGTAAAAAACTAATACAGGCCAATCTCAAGTTACAATTGTTAGGATATGTTTCCAAGTTGTCTCACTATCTTTTTACTCGTTTAAGTAATACTCAATGAATAATTTAAACCCAAGCTCAAAATAGTATTGTTCTTAAATTTTATGTGGAACTGATGCTTTTTCTACAGATAGTATTAGTGCTAGCGAATATGTTTCTTTCATAAAGTAGATAAGGCATTTTTGTGGTGACTTTTCGTGAACTTTGAAAGATTTAGGCAAGAATTTGGCAAATTTATGTTGCCTATAATAAGTTTTGCAGTGAAACGTAACTCGTTCAATATTTAAACCGCAAAACTTTTGTTCTTGAGGTCCGGGATCATATCCTGCCAGTTACCAAAATGGCTTTTGTGCATGTAGTGACAATGCTATGATCGGTCAATTCAAGGCCCACTCTAAGCTGTTTATTATTTATTACTTGGAAAAGGATATGAATCTCCCCTGTTTTAGAGAACTAACCTTATGGAAGCCTTTTGATAATATTTAACGAATATAATGACGATAACAATTCGACCAAAACCTTTTCAACAGCCTCGACAGAACGTATTACCTCTAGGTAAAACCTTTTAAAATTTGTATTGTAATTGTCAACTAGTTTCAAGAACTTGTTATACAAAAGCTGTTAGGGTTGTTGTAAGGTTTTCCAGTTGTTATGCAAAGTACTTGGTTTCAAGTACGGTACTTGAACCTGGCAAAGGTCACACTGAATTGAAAACAAGATTCACACCTGGTCTTTTTGACCGGGTATTATAAGAAAGCTATATTTCAGAAAGAGTTATATTTTAAGTACATAAAGCTTCTATGATGATACTAACCAACTTGTTGCGTTTTTCAGGTGTGGCAGACGGTGTTGGTGGTTGGAGGAGATACGGCATCGACCCCGGTGAGTTCTCTAGTTTCCTGATGAGGACGTGTGATCGCCTTGTGTCCACGGGGCGTTTCAGCACGACAGAACCTGCTAGTCTACTTGCGCGCAGCTACTACGAGCTGTTAGAGAACAAGCAGCCCATATTGGGTGAGTGAATATTCCATCTAGATATTGGGTCATATGGTCTGAAACTAGTAAAGTAAGGGCTGCTCACTCCTTACTTCCATCATTTGTAATCAGAATCGCACCATTTTTGCAGCTCTGTAGCTGATGTGTATGCTTTTTGTGACTAGAAAGTTTTTAAAATTATTGAATCTCCCGCCGCATGCATGATAACGTCAGTTTTATGTTTTTTACTGCTATAAACATATCTGATGCACACATTCATCGCCACATGAATGAAGTTTACGGCTCTAATTGCAATGAATTAAGGTTATTGCGGAAATGGGTTAGGGACTTAAAAAGGTTGTGTATATTTTAAACATTCCCTTTTACATTGGCATGAGTAGTAAATAATTCATTATTTTGATGCTGTTTATCGACATGTTCATTTAAAGAGGTTGGCGAGAGAGGAAATAAGGATCTAAATTCCATCCAGCCTAATAACGTTTATTAAGTAGTCAAAAATTTACTGAGTCCTAACAATGAAGGTTGAAAGCAAAAACACGTTGTGGCGTGATCACTAACCAGAACAGACTTATCACTCGTCCAGTTGTCCATGACAGCAGTTCAAACCTCACTAATTGGCACTAACTGCTCAGTCCCGCATTTGCTGTGTTATGTTAATGCGTGCCTGACATGACTACTGGTATTTAAAAATTGTCATGTTATAGTTTAAATAATATTTCATAGGTTAGGCTTGCTACAAACTGTATAGACTTTTTTATGTTTGTAAAACCAATTGTCATATTATTTCTGTCCCGTTATAGTCATGGAAAAGTGGTTGTTCCTGTCAGGTAGATGTAATTGTAATCTGGTAATGTGGAGAACAAAAGCAAAGCGTGTAGAAGTGAGTAGGCCTACAATTTATTGACTTCTGGTGTCACAATTAATTAAATTTGTTACCGCTTCTAAGATAAGTGAATATTTTGTTACTTGCTAGATGCTGTAAATAAAACCAACAACAATGATGTCATGTTTTTTTTAAAATCAAATTCTTAACTGAAATGTTTATAGAATTGTGTGTATTATGAATTGTGCATACTAACTTTGTGTGTATAGTGGACACTAGTGTAGCCTTGCCTCATCCTTTACTTAACCTGGTAATTGCTATATAGCTGTGACCACACAGGTTGTTGTGTGATCAAGAACATTAAATTTTATGTAGTGGTCATTAAAGTATTACTATGGGTATTGACTTGTTTTTAATGGCGGTTCTATGATCTCTCATACTAATTTGAATGATGATATTGTGATAAAAGATTATTCCTTGTCTCAATCCCTTAACATAAAATATTTTCAATAATCAAACTTTGAGAGGTAGCATAATCTCAAATTCGTTTTGATACGGTTGTATTAGCTTCTGCACTGACCACTACAAGTTGCAAAATTATTCTACTGTATCCAGAGCAATAAATATCCTGTAATTATTTAAGGTACTGCCTAATAGAGCAGGCCCAAAATTATAAAATCCCTCTCTATAAAGTGCAAGAAGCATTTCATGTAACAATTGGGGAAACAACGTTTTTAGGGTATTTCGACCCTGCTGAGTACGAATCTGCCTGTTGCCAACGCGAAATTTGAACCGGAAGTGCGGTATCCAAGATGGCGGCCAAAACTCTGTTTTCCCCATATCTCCCTTGTTAGTTGGCCTAAAATAATGGTTTAAACGTGTAAATAGGGGTTTTTCAGATGCCAAACACATTACAACAACCAAAATTTACTTACATTAAGTTTTGGGGCATATCTTCCAAAATGGCGCCCAAGATGGCCGGCAAAAACTCTAATTTCCGCATATCTCCCATATTTTTTGGCTTAAAATAATTATTTAGACGTCTGCATAGGGGTTTTCTCGGATGCCAAACACATTGCAACAACCAAAATTTACTTACATTAAGTTTTGGGGCATATATTCCAAGATGACTACCGAGATGGCTGCCAAAAACTCTTATTTCCGTATATATATATATATATCCCTTGTTTGTTTGTTTAAATTAATTATTTAAACGTCTACAAAGGTATTTTCTCGGATGTTAATCACATTGCAACACTCATTATTTACTTCCTTTGAGTTTAGATGACATATATTTCTAAGATGGCAATAAAAACTTTATTGTGCTTACGTGAGCTCCGTGCGTATTATTGTATTTAGTGTTTAAAACCAGTCAGATATCTATTAGTGGCTGAATATCATGTTGTCAGTGTGTGCAAAAAGGTGTGTAAAGGTATTTTTATGATTAGGCGTCTCAGGTTGATTGTTGACTTTGATGTTCTGATGTCAATATATTTTGCTCACACTCAGAGTCACCTATCGTATGGAATTGTAGTGTGGGGATGTGACAGCAACTTTAAAAAAATACTGATTTTGTAGAAGAGAGCCTTAAGAATCATGTATAAAGTAAAAAGAAAAACTCACTGTAAACCTTTGTTTAGAAAACTTGGTGTGCTAACTGTACCTTCATTGTATTTACTGGAAAATCTTAATATTCCTGCCAACAATTCAGTACATTCATATTTTACCAGACAGAGCCATTTTATCAGGATTTACCAATGTAATTATCAGACTGCCATTAAATCTACTTTTTGAATTAGGTAAGAAAATCTTTAATTTGCTGCCACATAATGTAAAATGCTTGGATGAAAAAAATTAAAAGTGCATTTGAAATTTCTATTGATATAATTAAGTGTGTATCATGTTGACGAATTTATCACTTATGTTATGTAAATAGAAATTTATTGTAATATATGATGATGCCATACGTATGTTTTGTATGTTTTACGGCAATAAATAATTTGATTTGATTTGAACGCGTAGTACAACAGAACCTGTAAAAATTATTTTTTAGACCATACTTAAAATCCGCAAGAGGTGGTGTATGTAAATTTAACTAAACAAAGGCACTTTCAAACATATTAAGAAATAATAATGAACAATTGGGTTATAATATTAACAATGATACTGTACTGTTATATTGTATTGATCTTATGGTACTACCCATTAATGTGGTACCACCCATCAACGGAGGTTTGTTTACCATGGGTCTCAATGGATGAAATAGATTTTTTAAAGAATTTCTATGACAGCATTGTGTTGGCTGCACTGATCAACATTATAATAAGCTAACAACTAACTCTTATTCTTTTTAATATCTTGTGTTGGCCAACCGTCTATAAAGGTTACGAAGAGAAAGTAAACAATTGTATACATGTGTACAAAATAATTGTTAATAAGGTAACATCTTTTGTTTTCCAACCGTCTATAAAAGTTAGTTTGTGAAGAGAACGTAAACATTTGTATGCATTTCTACGAAATAATTATTTGAGGTAAGTACAATTTGTAATCCTTAGTTTATTCAAACTTAGCAATAGGGAGTTTTTGAACCATTCGTTAAATAATCACGGTAAACGCTATTCATTATGTTTTCTCGTTTATTAAATGTGAAAATAACGTATTGCGTTTACCGTGATTATTTAACGGCGGGTTAAAAAACTCCCTATTGCTAAGTTTGAATAAACTAAGGGTTTAATATTTAAATTGTACATAACTTCATTAACAACCTAATATAACTCCTAATATAGTTGTTTAATGTTGTGTATGGCATCGTCATATTTTACAATAAATATCTATTTACATAACTGGACACCTTAAATAAGTGATAAATTCGTCAATATCATACACACTTAATTCTACAATTACTTAATTACAGGTTCTGTTGTACTACGTGTTATCTACGGTGCCACCAGAGTACATTAAAAAATTTGCCTTCTACTTTAACATTGCTATTTTTCAATTGGTATTTCAAAAATAGTAGCACATATTCAGCGACTAATAGATATCTGACTGAAACACTAAGTACAATAATACGCACGGAGCTCACGTAAGCACAATAAAGTTTTTATTGCCATCTTAGAAATATATGTCATCTAAACTCAAAGGAAGTAAATAATGAGTGCAATGTGATTAACATCCGAGAAAATACCTTTGTAGACGTTTAAATAATTAATTTAAACAAACAAACAAGGGATATATATATATATATACAGAAATAAGAGTTTTTGGCAGCCATCTCGGTAGCCATCTTGGAATATATGCCCCAAAACTTAATGTAAGTAAATTTTGGTTGTTGCAATGTGTTTGGCATCCGAGAAAACCCCTATGCAGACGTCTAAATAATTATTTTAAGCCAAAAAATATGGGAGATATGCGGAAATTAGAGTTTTTGCCGGCCATTCTTGGGCGCCATTTTGGAAGATATGCCCCAAAACTTAATGTAAGTAAATTTTGGTTGTTGTAATGTGTTTGGCATCTGAAAAACCCCTATATACACGTTTAAACCATTATTTTAGGCCAACTAACAAGGGAGATATGGGGCAAACAGAGTTTTGGCCGCCATCTTGGATACCGCACTTCCGGTTCAAATTTCGCGTTGGCAACAGGCAGATTCGTACTCAGCAGGGTCGAAATACCCTAAAAACGTTGTTTCCCCAATTGTTACATGAAATGCTTCTTGCATTGCCTTTTTTTGAAAACGGGCCTAGTCTATAAATCAGCTGATCTCAGTCAGTAGTAAAGCTATCATCTGATTCATTCTACATTAGTTTTTTAGTCATGTTCACTTTACAATACACACCTGCATGCAGGGTGTTTCAGTCTCATGTACATCTAATTACAACTAAACCACTGAATAATGTAGAGGAGCGAGCTGGTCTAGTAATAGTGTGACTTCAGTCCCTGAGGTCACGGGTTGTAATCCCGCCAATCACCAATGGACTTTATCTAAGTGATAATGAAGCAACCCTCTAGGCCTAGCCTGAACTGTCAAACGGTTCTGGGCTAGATCGTAGGATCCTAGGATGTGAAGGTGGGACTTACACTAATACACTGATTAACATAAACTTTTGTGTTGTAGGCAGCAGTACAGCGTGTGTGATGGTGCTCAACAGAGCGACCAGCACTATCTACACAGCCAACATCGGCGACAGTGGGTTTGTGATAGTTAGACACGGAGAGGTGGTTCACCGCAGTGAAGAACAACAACACTACTTCAACACTCCCTTCCAGCTGAGCCTGCCTCCGCCCGGCCACACTGGTTCTGTTCTCTCCGACAGGTAATTACATTCAAACTTCTGTTACTTTTACTAACATAGTCCCATGTCTCAGTAGTGTTGCATTAACCCTTAGAGTGCCAGGCGAGAAATAAAAGTAACGCTCAAAAAATGCCGATGATTTTTCCCGAAGGTCGCGCTAAAAATGCCGAGCGCGATCTGGCGATTTTTAGGTTAAAATTTCGTAAAAATCGAATTTTCGATATTTCGACCAACGAAAATCGATGTATCGCATCTAGTAACTCTCGACTCAATGTTAATATATGGGTTAAAAGAATCCGAGTATCCATTCGGTTGTTATGACAACTGTTCGATCATTACGAAACGTCCGGTCAGCCGGACGTTGGCACTTTTGGCTCGTTCTAAAAACGTCCGGTCGGCCGGACGTCGGCACTTTTGGCTCGTTTTAAAAACGTCCGGTTCCCCGGACGTTGGCACTCAAAGGGTTAATGAACGAGCCGGACAATGTGGGATATAGGGAGAAACATATGAGTATATTATAGCGATAACAACAAAACCATTAACATCTTTTTCTTGGTCATGGACACATTATGTTTCCCGTGATCACAACAAAATTTTAGTCATCTCTCACGGTCGTGGCCACGTCAATATGAGTTTTCTGTTGTCACATTGAAATTGTGAACACCTCTCTTGATCATGGACAATAATTTCTTCCTGGGATCTGAGCTAAATAAAAAAAAAAAATGGTTGTGTTGTTTGAACGTCATTATAGTGTCTACAATAACAGCAAAATTGTAAGAATCTCCCACAATAGTGGAGACAGTGTGAATTTTCAACCACCCCAATCCCATGGAAACTTTTTTCATTTTTAATAATATTGCAAGAATAAAAAAACTAGGCTCCGCTAAATTTTCGGGCTAGTGCTCGCTTTTAGGCTAGGAGTAGATTGGCTCAAAAAACAGAACAAGTTGCACACCTGTATGCTTGACGATAACTTTTCACCAACACTTTCACAGATTTTAGAGCACACAGGATTTTACAGTACGGTCCTTGCGAGTCTGCAGTTGAGGGAGGAGCCTATTTACCACTTGACTTCGAAGGAGCCAATGAGGACGACGTGGTGTTGCCAAATCTAATAATACCAGCTGATTTGAAAATATTGTTTAGTACATATTAATTAGAGTAAAAAATTAGTGAACGGGCGATTTTGCAACGTCGCGCTATTCCAGTTTTCTATTGGCTGCCTCCAACTGCAGACTCTCGTGGCCCCTAGTGTAGAGATTTAACTGTACGTCAGGCAAATGAATATTCTTGGGCCCAACTAAAGTAGGAGGGATTCCATGTAAAAAGCTTGTAAATTTTGCATTCCTTGTTAGCCCTAATTCGTGTAAATATTGGGAACTATTTAAAGGCTGTTTCAACTTTGTCTATACCCAAATAGAGTATACCAGTTCCTTGATTATTCAAACCTAAATTTGTGACCAACAAAACATGTTATTAAATTAATTTTATAATCAGCTTTGACACCTTTAATATTTTTACTATAGGTAAGATTGAACTTACTTTTGCTTGAAGGTGTCAAATGTAGTTTATGCTGTACATGTTTCGAGCTACTTACAGCTCATCTTCAGCAACATTCTTTTGTTAAAACATCGTTCGATGTGATTTTTTAACACAAGAATGCTGCTTAAGATCAGCTGTAAGTAGCTTGAAACATGTACAGCATAAACTACAATTGACACCTTCAGGCAAAAGTAAGTACAATCTTACCTATAGTAAAAATATTATTAAATAATTAATTGGTCGATATTTTGTCTGTTTATTCATTTTATCTATATTAATATGACAACAGTGTGATAAGTATGATACACATACTCCATTACTTTTGTCTTACCTTAAAACTAACCCTTTGCATGAAATTATTCCACGTCCTTCATTATTCGTATTCACAGAGCACTAAAATAAACCTCCATTATCAGTTTTAATATTTAATTTTTGGTACAGATCAGGTTTACTCTATTTGAATAAGCTTCCGATCTTAGAAATATCATAAATATTCCCTTGTAGAATAAAGAGGATAGCTGCTTGAATCTTTTTTTTTCTAAACGTCAAAGTCCTGGCCTAGAGCTTTTCGTTGATCAAAATTTAGTGTTTCCCTATCTTTAGTGCCTCACATATTGTCGGATTGGTATTTGGCTTAGTCGTACGTAATCAATAAACACAAATCAACCAAAGTAAAATTTCATTGGCACTGGACTTTGTACACCTAACGGAGCACACTGTTATCACCGGCGGGTCCATAGTAGCACCACACCCACACATTCCGATTGGCTCTGCTATCAGTGCATTGGGCAACTAGGAAGTAACTTTATTGTTTTGTTCAAAGGCAAAATAAACTGATTAGGATGAGTTATTTATTGGACAAGAATAGCAAAATCCAGTATCGAGGGAAATACACTGAATACATTTACGAATACATACTAAATGCATACACTGAAGGGAATAAACCCTTAATACTTCTTTGTAATTGTTTAGAATGACAATTTTGTGATATTGAAATGTATTATTTAATTTTAATAAAAATATTACCATTAATAATATCAATAGTTTATAGTAAAATTAATTGGGATCAACTATTTCTACGTTTAAAACCAACAGATTGTGATGTTAGGGGATTTAAACTATGTTTAAAATAATTAAATTTAAGTAGTATCCGCTGTTGTCAGTATTATGACTCCAGGTTAAAACCTCACTAGTTAACCGCCCGTGCTCCGCCACGGGAATATTGTCAGCAATAAAAGAAATAATAATTAACAAATACTGTTTATGTAAATATGTAAAAAATTAAACAACCCCTAAATAAAACCCATAATTTAGGGGTTGTTTAATTTTTTACATTAAATAGAACTGATAGAACTGATAAATAGAACTGATAGAACTGAAATAGAACTGAGCCTGTATAAACGATATTATGTTAATCAAACCGATATATTATTTTAACCAAATGAATGTTTTATATTAATTCAAGTTTCATTTGAAAAATAAATAGTATACGAACTGGGCAATGCTGATAACCTAATAAGCAGCTATTTATGATATTTAGATAATTTGCTCAAGTATATTCCTATATTCGTCGTTTTTTTTTTCATTACATTTGTTGTATGGAATAAAAATAGTCACTTAGCCTACATGTAAATCACGCATCAGCAGTTGGTCGCATTTATTTATTTATTTATTTATTGCTCTTTACAATTTTTACATTGTGTAGCATTTTTACATTGTGTGATTCTATTATTTATAATTACATAATTACAGAGGGGTTATTTTATGTAAATATGTAAAAAATTAAACAACCCCTAAATAAAACCCATAATTTGATTTATGGGTCGGACATTTGATTTATTTAAAAATAAGAGTTTTTATTCTAATGAGTTTATACTCTCACAGTTTTTGTAAGTTTTAACGCCATTTCACGAATCTTTGACCCATATTTGTGTCCCAGTTAGTCTGTTCTGACTAAAAATTCATAGATTTGCAGTACTAACAAATCCAATCTAACGACCCCAATTCGAAAAAATGGTATTTTTTAGAAGGGACTTCCAGAGCACATTTAACACCATCACTGCTCTTTACCTTTTTAGTTCGATGGTTCTCTACATGTTTTTTTCGTTCTGTATGTCTCTTTACGCCCGGTTAATTATCACCTTTTCTTTTTCTTTTTGTACTTTACACATCATGGGGTTAATGATAAAGTTTTATAACGCTATAATGACCCGAGTCAACATTGCCATTAAACATCAAGTAAGATACTTCTTCGCCAGAACCGAAATCGTAAGTCACAGTTTCTCAAGAAACTTCCCTGTGTAGGCCTACTCGAACAAATATAGTCAGGGTATAGTTCACTGATAAATTGTACTTCCAAATATCCCAGCGTACTCGCCATCTCGAGAAGGTAAAATTTGGACGTCAAACACTGATCTTGAGTAAGATTAATCACTTACGATAAAATGTTTGTATGTTTACCAATCATTAGCAATTATCTGTACAACTTTCAAGCGGATTTCCCTATGATGATTGTTCTGGTGGCTATAGAGAATAAATTATATTGATCAAAACAATAAGTTTCCGTCCCCTTCCATGGGTATTATTTCACATTCCATACTCAAACTTAAACTCAATTACCACTTTCCTTCAGATCACTTTGCAGGAAAACTAAAACATTTTTGTGTCCCAGTTGGTCTGTTCTGACTCAAAATTCATAGATTTGAAGTAGTGACAAATCCAATCTAACGACCCCAGTTCATAAGAGTTGGTATTTTTTTGTAGGGACTTCCAGAGCACATTTAACACCAACACTGCTCTTTACCTTTTTAGTTCGATGGTTCTCTACATTTTTTTTCGTTCGGTATGTCTCTTTACGCCCGGTTAATGATTACCTTTTCTTTTTTCTTTTTGTACTTTTCACACCCTGAGGTTAATGATAAAGTTTTATAACGCTATAATGACCCGAGTCAACATTGCCATTAAACACCAAGTCACATACTTCTTCGCCTGAACTGAATGGTAAGTCACAGTTTCTCAAGCAACTTCCCTGTGTACTTGAAAAAAAAAAAATTACTGATATTGTAGTTCCACGTATCCCAGCGTACTCGCCATCTCGAGAAGGTAAAGTTTGGTACCACTGAACGTCTAACACTGATCTTGAGTAAGATTCGTCACCTACTATAAAATGTTTGTATGTTTCCCACTCATTAGCAATTATATGTACAACTTGCAAGCGGATTTCCCCATGATTATTCTGGTGGCGGTAGAGAATAAATTATATTGATCAAAACAATAAGTTTCCGTTCCCTACTATGGGTATTATTTCACATTCCATACTCTAACTTAAACTCAATTACCACTTTCCTTCAGATCACATTGCAGGAAAACTAAAACATTTCAAAAATAAGTTAACAAATACACTTTCCTTGATCAAAATCGTGTGTTTATAAACAGAAAATCCAAGTTTAATAATTAATTGCATACTGAAAGTGAGGTTATAAAAATAATAACAAATGTCCGACAAACATTAGACAGCTGACGAATAATTTATAAACTGTGTATTATATTCTTCAATAAGAATTGTATTGACTCGACCTTTAAAGGGCTGTAGGTCGTAGCCCTTAGAAATAACTAAATTCTAAGGAAGTTCGGCAAATCTACACACTATCCCCTTTAATTCGAGACATAAACCTTGTAGATCGGTCCAGTAATTACTGAGAAAACAGTGTTACAACTGTGTATTAAATATATAGATTGTCAGCAGGGCTGGCTGGATTTACCAGTAGGTGTATCGTGTATCCCTTTGGTAAGGGCATCATGCTACAAGGGTGGCAAAATCAATATGCAATTTTTTTGTTAGAGTATTACATTAAGTTTTTTTCCTACCTATTTAATTTTTTATTCAACAATTTGACATAACAACCTAGTGTCTATAAAAATCCTTTTGCCTGCCTCATAAAGATCACCGTGGAAAATCAAATTGAATGCTAGACGGTCAGCCAGCTGTGCGCATAGCTGTGCAGCATATGGATCATAACTTTTGTATTATTGCCAACTACAAAATAAGAGAGGAAAGAAATCTTTTATACTGCAGCTTTGTTCACCATATTTATCTTGTTTCTCGGTTTTTAGTTTTTTTTTACAGCTTACTCTTTACCGATTGGCGATTACGAATTTGTTTATTTAAATTCGTATAACTTTATGGTAGATTAAGAGAAAATACAAGTCATGAATATTTAATACAGTATTAGATCAATTAATTGTATTAATAAATCATGCATTGTAGCCTTGTAGGTTGTATGATGGAAATTAAAGTTTCAACTAATTTTAATATCTTTATTTACTTACCGGTATTTTAGGTTTTTGATCCAAATTTAGAAACAGTTAAGACAAATTATAATTTTAAAAAATTACCTCCATTAAGGGCCCTTTCACGTGAGGTCACTGGTGCCTACCAATGACTACTACTACCAATGACCACTAGTAGTCAATGCCACTAGTGAAATGAAATGAAATGAAATGAAATGAAACCAGTGCTTTATTTTCATTAAAACAATGCATTACAAAATAATAAGATTTTTTCATAAATAACTCTTCCATATACAAAGAAAATATCTACATACAACCTTGAATCACACTTATTCTATCGTGTTTTACCTTAATATCATTTTGTTTTGTTAAACTGCACTATATCAGCATTAGCCCAAAGGACTGTCAGCTGGGCTGGCAGCTTTCATACAAAATATTTTTTTTTATTTTCTCCTTATTTTCCATATTCCCTGCAACACGTTAGGATGGCAAACAATGTGTTTTTGTGTTTTTTTTATGCAAAATTAAATTCCGACACAAGCTCATATCTATATTTCCATGCATTAATTAAATAACATCCTAGACTTCGCCAGTCCCTACCATTTAAATATAAGTGTAAATCTTCCCTAGTAAGTTCTTTTTTTTGAAGAAAACGTTTCCTTACACCTGCAAGGATTGGACACCTACAGATATAATGAAATACATCCTCGTTTTCCCTTAAATTACATAAACTGCACACGTAATTTTGATCACCTATCCAAGGCTTGTAGTTTAGATAAATTACTCCTACTCGTGCTTTGTAAATCCATTTTATCGCCCTTAGAGATAAATTAGCATTGATATAGGACGAGTTACCCAATTCCAAGTTCAAGGTCGCATATGTTTGGTGATAACGCGATCCTAAAGCCGCTTCCAAATTCGCCCGATATTCTGCCTCTCTGACTGATTCTAGGACACCTAACAATGCCGATTGTATACTTGCCGGATCAGTATCCATTTCCACCACTACGCCATGCGCGCGCCCTAGCTTCCGCCATTCTTCACACCAATACACATTCTTTTCAATTACCTGTTTCGCCAGTATATGCGGTAACCGGTCTTCAGCAAGGGATAAGACTCGAACTAAGTAATTTAGATTACTATGTAAAGTGTACAAATATACTGATTCTGCTCCTGTTTCTAAATATAGCGCATAATTAGGTGTATTATTAGGCAATTGAAAGATTTTCTTAATAAACATTTTCAAAACCCCTTCAATTTTATCATTCTTTTGATATCCCCAAACCTGACAGCCATAACACAGAATTGATTTAACTACCGCATTAAAGCAACTAAACTTTCTTTCCAACGAAATTCTACTACTGACAAAGAATTTATACCAGATATTATTGATTGCTAATTTTGCACTTCTTGATTTTGTGCTCATCTGATGTTCCCACGTTAACTTGGAAGTTAACTCTACCCCTAAATATTTATAACTGTTCACTACTTCAATATCTCTTCTTTTAAAAGTCCATTTTTCGTTTTCCTTTAACTTACCTCCATTTCTAAAAACAATAATTTTTGACTTATTTAGATTTAGTTGTAAGTTCCATGTATCACAATACTTTTCTAGATTATTGATCATAAACTGTAAACTTGTGGCAGTCGGTGCTAGCAGAACTACATCGTCTGCATACATTAAAATGTTTACTTTCTTTCGCCCAAAAATACAGCCACCATTTATGCTACTAGACATATCATTTATAAATTATACAACAATGCCACTAGTGGCCGCCATCAGTTACCGGCCGGTCAACTGCAGTTGATGTTACAGACAACTGACAGGCCACTCCACCAATAGGCTCCGTAGAACTAGTTGATAAAATGCTGATGAACAACAAACATCTCCTTCTCGCGTTACTAAGTTATTTAAATTCCCGGGAAATTTTCAATCTCGCAAATTAGATCCTCAGTATTAATTCTGTCTTTTAATATTTGCCTTAATCCCTAATTCTGTTCTTCTTTTTTGTGCACAATTTAAACAAAAAATAAACAGTTCCACAAGGAAACCACTCTACAACACTATCACAAGTGCGTTTGTCTCCACGTATGAACTGAGTTCAAATTTTATGGGTCTCAGGCTGAGACCCATAACATTTGAAGCTCGCGCTTCCACGGTGGCAGCCTCTAGTGGCTTTGTCTAAAGGCTCCCATTTAATTCACCGCCCCGCTCTGCGGTTGCCGGCTAGCAGTTCCGCGAGGAGACACTGCTCGGCCACTGTGTCCTGACGTCAACTACAGTGGCGCACGACTAAAGGCCCTCATTTATATCGATGTTTTAAGCTGTGGCGGGCAACCAGTGGTCTCGTGTGGAAGACTTTCCATATACCCATATACTACATGTTGGTCTACTACAATGTTAGGACGATTATAAGGATGTCTTATTCGATAGAAACGCATAACCATAAAGATTATGTTGACCGAATTTGTCTATTGACATAGTGAAATGCTGGAGATAAACTATCCTATAATTGTTCAGCCGACCTTGGGCTAACAGATTAAAACATAAGTTTATTAAAAAAAATCTATTTAAAAACACATGTGTTATAGGCCAGAGGCAGCAGACACATCGAATTTCCCAGTGGAAGATGGAGATGTTATTCTGGTCGCCACAGACGGAGTATTTGACAATCTACCAGACCAGGTAAGCCTTCAAAAAGCTTTCACATAGGCAATCGGGAATGGGTTGAAAATAATTCAGTGATTTTCTGATAACGACTGAGCTAAATAGTTTTTCTGAACAGATAATTATCATTTATCAACCACTGCCTAATGCAGAACCTCCAATCTTAACTGGTAGCCATAACTAATGCTCATCCTCTTTGTTAAGTTTCAGTAATATATAACTAAATTTATTCAAATTACCTTGTTATGACCTACCTTCTACTGGCGCCGTAAGTGTCCGATGTCTATTACACATTTTTCGTATTTGTGTTTTGGCGAATTAATGTTGTATGTGTTATTTTTTGTGAACTTAAAACTTATGATGACCTTTCCATGGAATAAATCATTCAACGTTTGACCTGAAGATGTGTTTATAACAACACAAAACAGCTGTAGTCAACTAACTACAAACCAGGATCACTTGAGGTAATTTAAACCTTTTATTGTAAAAATCAGTGATCCAGAGGCTATACCATAAAAATGAAATTTTTTTTTTTATTGTATCTAGGCTACCAATAAAGATTTATTATTTTATTATTGGTAATCAAGATGGGTCAGTCTCAGATGTATATACATAACAAGACATTCAATTTGCCCAGGTTTTGGTAAGTGAGCTGTGTAGGCTACAGGGAGAGCGAGACCCAGTCAAGATACAGAAGGTGGCCAACTCCATCGCGTGGATGGCTCGCAACTTAGCGTTCGACGACAAGTTTCTATCACCATTTGCCAAGTCTGCAATGGCCAATGGAATATATGCTATAGGTATGTTTGCTACTTAAACAACTTAGTTACTAGGCTTGCTGTACCAGCTAATGAGTGCCTTGTCATATAGTAAAATCACAACAATATGATTGCCATTGAACTGAAATAATGTCTACATATCATATAACCACTGGATTGTCAGTAGTGTGTTTATTCACATAATTATTTACTGTACATTTAATAAATCTCAAATGCCCCTTTTTTCTGTTGCACTGGACTGTTCTAAGGTTCCAGATCAAAAGATACCCCTGCTACAGCAATCCTGCAGACTGAATTTACATTTTCCCGTTTGAATTTTCTCATAATTATTTCCTTAACACGTTCGCTACCGACATGTTAAAAAATTACATAAATGTAGACCGAATTGTCCCACCTATGCCCCACAACAACTTTACCACAGACCGACGTCCCACATGTGCGCCAGTGTCCCCAGCTGATTTCCTACGTCTCAAGTCGTATCAGTCCATTTTTATACCTTGTTATTTTATATCCGTCTTTGGGGATATATGACAGGTATATGGGACGATTGGTATATTCAGTACAACACCATACAGTTGGTACAGCTTTGTTTGTTTTTATTGTATTTGCTCCCATGTGCTTATTCGGATCATAGCTGTACCACGTGTTTCTCAGTGAAGTTGAGTTATACTGTGAGTATGTTTGTTCTCAGCAGTTGTGTTTAAGTTGGTTTTTTTCGGAATTGGGTTTACGGTGGAAATATGGGACAATCAGTCTATGGTAAATTTGCATTAGGCTATATATTTTTGCTATAGACCGACGGCTAACATATGCGCAGTTTTAAAATTTCTCAAAACTATGGAAATTTAGGAGAAGTAACAGTGGAAGCATTAATATTGCATATCAATTGATTATGACAGGTTTTAATTCCCGGTCTAAGCTACTGACCAATTTACTACATCCAGTCTATCAGTGACGTTCAATATTAGAGTCGGTCTATTTTGATTTCCCTACTGGCGCATATGCACCGATGGGTAGCAAACAAGTTAATGTCAGATTAATTCCCTAATTTTTTAAACTTAGTTTTTACTTGCTTTTTGGAGTTTTTCCTTAACCCATTTACAATGACCATAAGTGTAGCTCGTAACCGCATTCACTGCAAGATAGTACTGCTAACCCACTGACCCTCAAGTAGGACGTTGAATCTAACTTACGCCCGGTAGTGTCGTCGGTTTTTATAGTGACAACCAACCCGTTCGGGCATGTTAGCTCAGTTGGCTAAGGCGTTGCACTTGACTTGTGTCTAAAATTTAAAATTCCCATGTAGTTTTCAGGCATGAGGTACGTGTATTTGAATATATGGAGTCATTCAAAAATTAACCAGGGGGACTATTACGGGACACCCGGTATAAGCTTTTACCAATGTTATTATTGGTACAACTACGCAAATATGCGACGTTTTAATGTGACCAGCCATCGCATATTTGTGTCGCTGTTTAAAATGAATGAAAAATTTAGTACTATTGTGGTAGAGAACGTGTTAAACAATATAATATAAAGAAACAATATAATATTACCGGGGTGGCGGAATTGTACCCCCCTGGAATTGTACCCCCTGCTGGTTAGTGACGTCACGATGACGTCTCATTTTCTAGACCAAAACGGCGTGTACGGGGTGGAATTGTACCCCCCCCCTGTTAGAACTCACGCTTATTTGGTCAGTGTACGGGGTGGAATTGTACCCCCCTGGAATTTTACCCCCGCAGGTCTGGTTCTTATAGGACCAGAATTTTACCTTCCTGGAATTGTACCCCTTTGTGTCTGCAGAAGAAAGTGTACGACCCGGAATTGTACCCCCCACCATTTGACTCAGACCTCTTCATGCACTGAAATTATAATGGACTTGATTGTAATACCTTAATAATATGTGATGTTGAATTCAAACTGAAATCGAACTCAACTAAAAATAAAATAAGTTTAAATACAATGTAGGCCTTTGTAGTCTGTCAAATCTTGAACTAAAAGCTTTATTCCTTTAGTAAAAAAATTGTTAAATCATTATAGGCGCCCTAGTTTTGAATATTATGTTTAGGAGCTTCTCTATTGTGATTACCTCGTAAAATCAAAACAATATTTAGGAAATTATAGGTGAATCACACGAGTATGATTTTATCTTATCACATTGCTAAGTTACGTCTGATTTCCAAAGCCAATACTGTATAGGTGAAACTCGTTTATGTTTTAGGAACTGAAGAGAGAATTCAAATGGAATTGTGTTATTTATATGCTTAAAAATTGATCCAACATAAATTATGTCACTTTAGAAGGCATTCACTACTATTTAATTTTAATGATACCACTTACGTTTATTGAAAGACGTTTGAAGATGTTTACTATGGGGGGGGGTACAATTCCAGCCCGTACACTATCCATGCTACCTGTCCAAGAGGGGGTACAATTCCACCCCGTACACATTTGGTTATCTGATTGGGGGTACAATTGCAGGGGGTACAATTGCAGGGGGTACAATTCCACTCCGTACATAAATAATTTGATGTTGGCAGGGGGTACAAATCCAGGGGTACAATTCCAGGGGGGTACAAATCTGGGCTGTACATCTCCCGCTCTTTTAATTTGTAATATAATCATCCGGTTCACTGATCAATTGCCCACATTAAATAGATTAGGTTCTATTAGGTATTATTCTCATAGGTATTAAAAATATGACTTGTTATCAAGGTTGACTTCTTATCGAGGCTTCCAATAATATGTGATTAGGGGTAAAACAATTTAGAGGGGATTTTCAAATGACTCTTGTTATCAAGGGTGACTTGTCTTTGAGGGTCTTGTTATCAAAGTTCTACTGTATAACTGTTTTTCTAGCCTAATAGTTAACTCTTGTGTTTTCAGGTGGCAAGCCGGATGACATCACTGTATTACTAGCAACAGTAGTAGGCTAGCCCCAAGACAACACTTCATTGTAAATATAGCTCCATTTTTTCATCTCATTTTCTGTAAATTATTTTTTTGTAAGATCATTTCATTTCTACGAGTCCCCGAAAAATCAAATAGGTTTAAGATGAAATCGTTGTACAAGTCCGATGCGGTTAAAATTTTTCATTGTAATTTATTTCTGTCTCGCAATGATATTGTTCCTTTTGCTTTAAAAAAGCGATTCTTAATTTAGTTAAGAACTAACTTGCTGTTGTTTAATTTGTAGTCAACAAGATGGAACACCTAGGTTCAGTAATAGCTGATATGTGATAGGATGTGATTATTTTACTTTTAGGTGTTTTGTGTGAGAATTGTAAATTGTTACGGATTTGCAATTTTAAAACAACAGAACTGAGTAGTCGCGAGATGGATAGTCGGTGCTAGTGCTAGTCACCGGTCATCAATAAATTTATTCAATTTCTTTCAAGAGCATTATTTAACCCAATAAACATGCTGTAGGTTATGTTATGCAGGACTCCTTCAGTACCTGTTCAGAAAGGTATAATATGATAACTTATACATTTATATTTTTGCACTGATTATAGAACTTGTTTTTTCCCCATGTTTGGTGTGTACCGGTAATCATATAATTTCCTTCATCCTCAAAAACTAACTCTGAATAAAAATATGTAATGTATGAGGTGAGACAAACCAACATAAATGTTTTTAAACTTTTGTTTTATTTTACAATATTAAATCTTAGGGTGGGTACATACATGTTGTGCTCAATAGAAAAAAACAAGAAACTTTGGTATCACAATCACTGGGGAGGTGGGGGTGGAGGGGGAGCATCAGCAGCGCCCCAGGCAAAGCCGCCGGGTCTGTCTTCTGGCATGGGCACATAGTCAGAGTCATCCGCTGGCGCATCAAACAGTGTCTTTCTGGAAATGATCAAAAATTTAGAGGTGTGTTAAATATAGACATGGAGTAAGGCAGGGCAGAATACAGCAATATGTAGGGAGGCATAGGGTAAATCTAGGCCAAGAGTAGGGTACAGCTAGAGCCAGTTGGACAGGGTAGAGTACAGCTGGGGCTAGCAGGGAAGGGAAGGGTACAGCTAGGGCCAGCAGGGCAGGGTAGGGTACAGCTAGGGCCAGTAGGGTAGGGTAGGGTACCGCTAGGGCCAGTAGGGTAGGGTAGGGTACCGCTGGGGCTAGCAGGGCAGGGTAGGTACAGCGGTACAGCTAGGGCCAGTAGGGCAGGATAGGGTGCAGCTAGGGCCAGTAGGGCAGGGTAGGTTCAACTAGGCTAGCAGGGCAGGGTAGGTTCAGCTAGGCTAGCAGGGCAGGGTAGGTACAGCTAGGGCCAGTAGGGCAGGGTAGGTACAGCTAGGGCCGGTAGAGCAGGGTAGGGTACAGCTAGGGCTGGCAGGGCAGGGTAGGTACAGCTAGGGCCGGTAGGGCAGGGTAGGTACAGCTAGGGCTGGCAGGGCAGGGTACGGTACAGCTAGGGCCAGTAGGGCAGGGTAGGGTACAGCTAGGGCTGGCAGGGCAGGGTAGGTACAGCTAGGGCCAGTAGGGCAGGGTAGGTTCAACTAGGCAAGCAGGTCAGGGTAGGTTCAGCTAGGCTAGCAGGGCAGGGTAGGTACAGCTAGGGCCAGTAGGGCAGGGTAGGTACAGCTAGGGCCGGTAGAGCAGGGTAGGGTACAGCTAGGGCTGGCAGGGCAGGGTAGGTACAGCTAGGGCCAGTAGGGCAGGGTAGGTTCAACTAGGCAAGCAGGTCAGGGTAGGTTCAGCTAGGCTAGCAGGGCAGGGTAGGTACAGCTAGGGCCAGTAGGGCAGGGTAGGGTACAGCTAGGACTGGCAGGGCAGGGTAGGTACAGCTAGGGCCAGTAGGGCAGGGTAGGGTACAGCTAGGGCTAGCAGGGCAGAGTAGGTACAGCTAGGGACGGTAGAGCAGGGTAGGGTACAGCTAGGGCTGGCAGGGCAGGGTAGGTACAGCTAGGGCCAGTAGGGCAGGGTAGGGTACAGCTAGGGCTGGCAGGGCAGGGTAGGTACAGCTAGGGCCAGTAGGGCAGGGTAGGTTCAACTAGGCTAGCAGGTCAGGGTAGGTTCAGCTAGGGCCAGTAGGGCAGGGTAGGTACAGCTAGGGCCGGTAGAGCAGGGTAGGGTACAGCTAGGGCTGGCAGGGCAGGGTAGGTACAGCTAGGGCCGGTAGAGCAGGGTAGGGTACAGCTAGGGCTGGCAGGGCAGGGTAGGTACAGCTAGGGCTGGCAGGGCAGGGTACGGTACAGCTAGGGCTAGCAGGGCAGGGTAGGGTAGGGTGCAGCTAGGACCGGTAGAGCAGGGTAGGGTACAGCTAGGGCTGGCAGGGCAGGGTAGGTACAGCTAGGGCCAGTAGGGCAGGGTAGGTACAGTTGGGGTCAGTAGGGCAGGGTAGGTACAGCTAGGGCCAGTAGGGCAGGGTAGGGTACAGCTAGGGCTGGCAGGGCAGGGTAGGGTGCAGCTAGGGCCGGTTTGAGCAGGGTAGGGTACAGCTAGGGCCAGTAGGGCAGGGTAGGGTACAGCTAGGGCTAGCAGGGCAGGGTACGGTACAGCTAGGGCTAGCAGGACAGGGTAGGGTACGGCTAGGCTAGCAGGGCAGGGTAGGGTGCAGCTAGGGCCGGTAGAGCAGGGTAGGGTATCTTTATCCTACCCTGTCCTGCTAGCCCTAGCTGTACAGGGTGCAGCTGGGGCCAGTAACTGGGTAGGGCCAGTTGTAACTAGCTGTACCCTACCCTGCCCTACTGGCCCTAGCTGTACCTACCCTGCCCTGCCAGCCCTAGCTGTACCCTACCCTGCTCTACCGGCCCTAGCTGCACCCTACCCTGCCCTGCTAGCCTAGCTGTACCCTACCCTGCCCTGCCAGTCCTAGTTGTACCCTACCCTGCTCTACCGGCCCTAGCTGTACCTACCCTGCCCTGCCAGCCCTAGCTGTACCCTACCCTGCTCTAACGGCCCTAGCTGTACCTACCCTGCCCTGCTAGCCTAGCTGAACCTACCCTGACCTGCTAGCCTAGTTGAACCTACCCTGCCCTACTGAGTGGCCCTAGCTGTACCTACCCTGCCCTGCCAGCCCTAGCTGTACCCTACCCTCTAGCTGTACCTACCCTGCCCTGCCAGCCCTAGCTGTACCCTACCCTCTAGCTGTACCTACCCTGCCCTGCCAGTCCTAGCTGTACCCTACCCTGCCCTACTGGCCCTAGCTGTGCCTACCCTGCCCTGCCAGCCCTCGCTGTACCCTACCCTGCCCTACTGGCCCTAGCTGTACCTACCCTGCCCTGCCAGTCCTAGCTGTACCCTATCCTGCCCTACTGGCCCTAGATGTACCTACCCTGCCCTACTGGCCCTAGCTGTACCTACCCTGCCCTACTGGCCCTAGCTGTACCTACCCTGCCCTGCCAGCCCTAGCTGTACCCTACCCTGCTCTACCGGCCCTAGCTGTACCTACCCTGCCCTGCTAGCCCTAGCTGTACCCTACCCTGCCCTACTGGCCCTAGCTGTACCTACCCTGCCCTGCTAGCCCTAGCTGTACCTACCCTGCCCTGCCAGTCCTAGCTGTACCCTACCCTGCCCTACTGGCCCTAGCTGTACCTACCCTGCCCTGCCAGCCCTAGCTGTACCCTACCCTGCTCTACCGGCCCTAGCTGCACCCTACCCTGCCCTGCTAGCCCTAGCTGTACCTACCCTGCCCTGCCAGCCTTAGCTGTACCCTACCCAGCTCTACCGGCCCTAGCTGTACCTACCCTGCCCTGCCAGTCCTAGCTGTACCCTACCCTGCTCTACCGTCCCTAGCTGTACCTACTCTGCCCTGCTAGCCCTAGCTGTACCCTACCCTGCCCTACTGGCCCTAGCTGTACCTACCCTGCCCTGCCAGTCCTAGCTGTACCCTACCCTGCCCTACTGGCCCTAGCTGTACCTACTCTGCCCTGCTAGTCCTAGCTGTACCCTACCCTGCCCTACTGGCCCTAGCTGTACCCTACCCAGCCCTACTGGCCCTAGCTGTACCTACCCTGCCCTGCCAGCTCTAGCTGTACCCTACCCTGCTCTACCGGCCCTAGCTGCACCCTACCCTGCCCTGCTAGCCTAGCTGTACCCTACCCTGCTCTACCGTCCCTAGCTGAACCTACCCTGACCTGCTAGCCTAGTTGAACCTACCCTGCCCTACTGGCCCTAGCTGTACCCTACCCTGCCCTACTGGCCCTAGCTGTACCTACCCTGCCCTGCCAGTCCTAGCAGTACCCTACCCTGCTCTACCGTCCCTAGCTGTACCTACTCTGCCCTGCTAGCCCTAGCTGTACCCTACCCTGCCCTACTGGCCCTAGCTGTACCCTACCCTGCCCTACTGGCCCTAGCTGTACCTACCCTGCCCTGCCAGTCCTAGCTGTACCCTACCCTGCCCTACTGGCCCTAGCTGTACCTACCCTGCCCTGCCAGCCCTAGCTGTACCCTACCCTGCTATACCGGCCCTAGCTGTACCTACCCTGCCCTGCCAGCCCTAGCTGTACCCTACCCTGCTCTACCGGCCCTAGCTGCACCCTACCCTGCCCTGCTAGCCTAGCGGTACCCTACCCTGCTCTACCGGCCCTAGCTGTACCCTACCCTGCCCTGCCAGCCCTAGCTGTACCCTACCCTGCCCTGCCAGCCCTAGCTGTACCCTACCCTGCTCTACCGGCCCTAGCTGCACCCTACCCTGCCCTGCTAGCCTAGCTGTACCCTACCCTGCCCTGCCAGCCCTAGCTGTACCCTACCCTGCTCTACCGGCCCTAGCTGTACCTACCCTGCCCTGCCAGCCCTAGCTGTACCCTACCCTGCTCTACCGGCCCTAGCTGTACCGTACCCTGCCCTGCTGGCCCTAGCTGTACCCTACCCTGCCCTACTAGCCCTAGCTGTACCTACCCTGCCCTGCCAGTCCTAGCTGTACCCTACTGGCCCTAGCTGTACCTACCCTGCCCTGCTAGCCCTAGCTGTACCCTACCCTGCCCTACTGGCCCTAGCTGTACCTACCCTGCCCTACTGGCCCTAGCTGTACCTACCCTGCCCTGCCAGCCCTAGCTGTACCCTACCCTGCTCTACCGGCCCTAGCTGTACCTACCCTGCCCTGCTAGCCCTAGCTGTACCCTACCCTGCCCTACTGGCCCTAGCTGTACCTACCCTGCCCTGCTAGCCCTAGCTGTACCTACCCTGCCCTGCCAGTCCTAGCTGTACCCTACCCTGCCCTACCGGCCCTAGCTGTACCTACCCTGCCCTGCCAGCCCTAGCTGTACCCTACCCTGCTCTACCGGCCCTAGCTGCACCCTACCCTGCCCTGCCAGCCCTAGCTGTACCTACCCTGCCCTGCCAGCCTTAGCTGTACCCTACCCAGCTCTACCGGCCCTAGCTGTACCTACCCTGCCCTGCCAGTCCTAGCTGTACCCTACCCTGCTCTACCGTCCCTAGCTGT